CAAACAAGATTAAGAATAAGAATTCTACCTTTGTCGCGTGCTTCGCTCCCAAAGAGCTCTTACTTCAAAATCCCGAAAACCCGAGATCTCCGACGGATCGTACCCTCGACCCGACCCGAGCGTCCTAAGTCTTGAAGGTTAGTCAAAACCCGGACAAAATAACTATGAGTTTTACGAATCAAAGGTTTACTCTTACTTAGAGTTGCCTTTTTAATTCCACTCAAGGTTGTTCATTTCCCAATACCCAAGCATGGTATTTATAGGGAAAAGAACCCTTGATTTTTCATCCTCCACCAATGTGGGAGTGTTGAAAATCAATCATTTATTTAATTTCCAAATTAAATAAATAATCAAGTTAATCATATTGCGACAAGTGGCATGTTCTCATGCAAAAGAGTGGGGGACCATATGCCTTGCTCCCCAAGGCCTTGATTTGGTCCCCACACCCTTGTAAAAAACCGGCTCAAGGAGGGCTAGCTGGCTGCCAGCTAGTGTGCCAGCTAGGGCTGCCAGCTAGCAGTGCCTTGCTGCCCATTACCCCAGCCAGCCAGCCAGTGCGTGCTGCTGCTGGTGTTGGTGCTTGTGTGCTGGTGCTGGGCGCTGCTAGCACATAGTGCTGGCACTGGCCCCAAGCAGCCCACGCACAGGCTAGCACGCACACTTTCCTTGTGCGCCATTGCTAGCACAGCCAGCATGCGTGCTGCTAGCGAGCCACGCATGCTGGCCCTTCCCTCGCATCATCCTACGCACCACGCACACAGCACGCTACGCACCACGCACGCACCACGCTACGCACCACGCAACGCTCGCACATACATCAGCCAGTGCCTAGCACTGCTATGCTTGGTGCGAGGCATGCACACTTGTACATGCACATGCGCCAATGCCTAGCACTGCGATGGCTGTGCTTGGTGCGTGTGTGGCCTTGCCATACGCACCAGGAACCTAGGCTAGCATGCTGCTAGCTGCGATGGGCTGTCTGGTGCTTGTGGTGCTTACGATAGCCTGCAAGGCGCACCTAGGCTAGCACGCTGCTAGCTGCGATAGGCTGCCTGGGGCTTGTGGTGCTTTGCGATAGCCTGCCATGCGCACCCAGGCACCCAGGCTAGCACGCTGCTAGCTGCGATGGGCTGCCTGGGGCTTGTGGTGCTTTGCGATAGGTTGCCATGGCACGCCTAGGCTGTGATGGTGCACCTAGGCTGCGATGATGCGCCTAGCACACCTAGCGTGCTTAGGCTTGCGCCTAGCCATGCTAGGTGCATGTTAGCTTGAACTAGCCTAGCATCCACATGGTTAGACCATTGTGGTGCTACGGCTACATTTATACTTGTCGCTTTGTGATTTTGCGACGCTCGGTCTCAACGCCCTAGGCTCGATATCCGAAGTCTGTATTTGTAAAACTCTGCTGACTCATTAAATCCTTTTGGATTAATTCGTCGTCTCGGATCGGTGATTCGATTGGGTTCGACCCGAAGGGTTCAGTTAAGATTAAGTTGTAACATCAATTGTACATTGATATTACTGATCGGAAGCGGCCTCCACCTAGGCATTCCGATCACTTGACCTTACTGAAGAATTAGCTCTGTAATAATTTTGAACCCTTTATCGGAAGAATACACTTGTTGGAAGGACACCATTCCTTTCAGTGGAAGTCTGAGTAGGCATCCATGAAGCTCATCAAGGCATGAGCGGCTGTAGAGTCGACCAGACTGTCGATCTTTGAAAGTGGATAGCTATCCTTTGGACATGCCTTGTTCAAATTTGTGTAATCAACACACATTCACCAGGTACTATTCGGCTTTTTGACGAGTACAACGTTTGCTACCCAATCCGGGTAGTAGCATTGTCGAATGAACCCGACATCTAGCAGCTTCTTAACCTCGGCGGCTGCCGCCTGAGATCTTTCCTCGACGTTGTTCCTTTTCTTTTGCCTTATCGGCTTCTTTTTAGGATCCACGGCAAGTTTATGGACAGCAAGATCCGGGCTGACGCCTGGCAACTCTTCCACTTCAAAGGCAAAAATGTCTTTGAATTTTTTCAATAGTTGGTGCAAATCTGGACCCAACTTTGCAAAAGCAACCGTCCCCACTTTTACGGTTCGTTCCAGACGGCTATCATCTAAAACAATGTCAATATTTTCACCAGCTGGCTGGGGACGGAGATCATCTTATCGTTCCCCAATCAGTGATTGCTATTACTTCTCTTTTTTTACGGCCACCGGGTGGTCCGCCTTTCTCTTTTTGCCAGCTGCTTTAGGAGCAGGCGCGGCTTCCTTGGAGTCGTCAAGGTCGATGGATTCCTTGCCTTGGCCGGATGCGGCCACAGTAGGCTTGACGTCTAAGAGATAACACTCCTTTGCCGTCTTCTGATCCCCGTTCAGGAAACCCACCGTTCCATCATCCCTCTCAAATTTGATCAGCATGAGGGATAGAATGATGACTTCCCTAGACTCATTGAGGGTTGGACGGCCCAAAATCAGATCATAGGCGGTCAATTCCTCGACCACCAAGAACTTGACGACCATGTGCCGTCCTTCCCCCTTTTCGCCTAGCCGGATGGGTAGGTCGATCCTCCCCATCGGATGCGCTACCCCTCCCCCAAAGCCAACTAAGGGGTGAGAGGCCTTGTGCATGCTGTCAGGCTTGTACTTGAGCTTCGCTAAGCACTGATAGCTTATAAGGTCAGACGAGCTCCCAGTATCAATGAGGATCCAGCCCACTCGTTGGTTGGCAACCTTGCATTCGATGATTATAGGGTCATCATGAGGCCGCCTGACCTTGCCCCAGTCCTTCTCAAAGATTAGGACCACAGGGAAGGTGTCTTTCGACGCCTGGCCCTCATCCACTAAGTTGAACAGCTTCATGGTGTTGTCCTTGGTGCCCCGGATGGTAGGACCCCCTCCCGCGAAGCCGCCTGCTATGGTGAAGATTTTGGTCTTTATCAGTGTTAGAGCTCACAGCCGGCTTCTTAGACGGTTGTCCATTATTTATTTTGGGGTTACCCTTGGACTTCATCAAATAGGACTTCAAAGCCCCCTCATCAGCCAGACGGTCTAATAGCCGCCTGAGGCTATAGCAACCATCAGTGTCATGGCCAATATCCTCATGGAATTGACAGTACTTGCTCTTGTCCCGGCTTTTGATGGGACTCTTCATTGCTGCCGGTTTTTCAATGGTCAACCGGTCTTTGATTTCCATGAGGATGGAGGAGCAGTCCTTGTTGAACTCGTACTTGGGGACATACGGCTTCAACTCTCTCTTCTTCTTCTAGGACGGCTGACCAGAATGGTCCGCCGCCCAGACTTCTTTTATTTTCTTACTCTCTTCTTTTTTTGCCAGCTAAGCAGACCGGCTCTCTTTCCTGTCGGACCTTTTAGGGTCCGACGAATGCTTGACGGCACAGAGTTCCGTCGCTTGTATGTAGCCTTCGGCTTCCATCAACGCCTCTTGGAGGGTAGCAACCCTCTTTTTGACCAGGTCGAACTTAAAGGTCGACCCTTCCTTTAGACCCTTGAAAAAGTCTATATAGGCAACTTCGTCAGACAGCCCTTGGATCTAAATTCTCATTAGATTGAACCGCCTGACATAGGAACTTAGTCCTTCCTTGTCTCCCTGTTGAAAAGCCCCTAAGTCGAGACTTGTCTTTTTGTCATGGATGTTCATGGAGAAGTTGGACGCGAACAGGTATGCTAGCGTCTTGAAGTTGTTGATGCATCCGGCTGGAAGATTGCCAAACCATCGTTGGGCTATGCCCTTCAATGTTGCCGGGAAGCATCGGCACCCGGCGGCGTCATCCAACCCCTGTAAGTACATGAGATTGGTGTAAGCCATTAGGTGGTCTTCCGGGTTGGTGGTACCGTCATAGGTATCAACCAACACATTCTTAATCTTGGCCGGCTGAACAGCCTCGATTATCTCCCAGGAGAACGTCGACGGCTATTCCCCAAGGTTTAGCACCTGGAGCTGCCAGCCCATGGGCTAGACTTGTTGTGACACCTGACCCCCTAAGAGGGCCGCCTGCATGTATGGTGATCCATACGGCAAGTATGGCTGTTGGGGAACATACGAAGCCGACTGGATAATCTGAGGACCAATACGTGCGGACATGTCGCCTGACTGACTCTCTCGGTTTGTCTCCGAATACTTCATTGAAGTATTACGGAAACTAGCTTGGTAGGTCGACGTTCAGGCTAACTCAGACATTTGTTGACTTCTCTTCTCCTGGATGAACATACGGGCGTCCGAGTAAGTCTTTTTTTACCCATCCGGCTGAACTTGTCGGATGGCCTTCCTTTGCCCTGATTCAGGGAAACGAAGTCTGGATAGGTCGATCAGGGGCCCATCCGCCCCCTTCGGTTTAGGGTGTGGGGTTGGGACCCAATCTTTGATATGCTTCTTCCCAGAGGGAGAAGGCTTCTTGGCTGGCTGACCCTTGTTGGAGCCAGTTGACTTCTTTATTATGTCCTTGATCTCCCCTCTGAAACTCGTCATGAATTTCATGAGTTCGTCTCTGGTAACGGGGGCAGTACCCTCCGCCGCCTGGGGTCGCCCAACCGGAAGCCGGTTGGGCTGATAGGACCAGCTTTGTCTTTGAACTAGGCGAAAATACGCATTCCCCACCGGTTCAAACCCCCCATTTCGCACCGGTTTTGAACCGGTCTAGATTTAGGGGGTGCTAAAACCCCATAGATTTCGCACCAATTCAAAACCGGTGCGAAATCAGACCTTTGGCACCGGTTCTGGGTGAAAACCGGTGCCGAAAGTCCCCAAAAACTTTTTTATAAAATACTTTAAGCACCGGTTCTGGGTGAAAACCGGTGTCAAAAGTCCCCAAAAAAATTTTAAAAAATGACTTTTAGCACCGGTTCTTTCCAAAACCGGTGCCAAAAATGCCCAAAAATAATAAATAATTTTTTTTGTTTTTTCATTTTTTTCACTTAAATTGATATATAAACACTAACATATATATATAATTACATATTTTCATTAAAAAAAGCCGTAATATTACAATTATCGTCTAAAAAATAAAATAACATTTTGTATATGAAATTACTCTTTAATTTGTTCAAAAACGCCTTCATGGTGATGGATGAGTTGCTGTGGGGTGCTGGGTGGGTTGCTAGCTGCTATTTGTTTTTCTTTTGTGGTGCTGCTGCTGTACTGTTGTTGCTGCTTTGGTTATGCTGATGGTGCCTGGTTGTGTTCTGCTGCTGCCATTGCTGGTTTGTATTGCTGGCTGAATCAACATGCAGAAATCTGGAGGGCAATGTGAGTTTGATGAGCCTAATAGTCAATTCAATTGTTAGAACTCATGCTCTTCAATGTATGGAGCCTATACAATCTGCCCAAAGTGCTCCGCTTGTTCATAAACTTCTGTCAGGTCATCATTGTACTTTGGCAAAATGACGACGATCTTTAATTAGGGGTTGAGCAAAAACACAATACAACTCCAAATGACAAGCCACAAAATGCTATAATGAAACTTACGGTTTTCTGCGTGAAGCACAACCAGCATGTGCCTCAAATTGCGAAGCACTAACCTGAATAATATTTCATGTGAAAAAACAAGCTTCAAAGAAAATGACAATATTGAAGGTCAAATTAAAGGCAGACAACGCACCACCGTATCACAGCAATTACAAAGAATTCCAGAACCCTTTTTGGAGCCCTCCAGTAATTTCTGCACAATTTATAAAATAAAAAATAAATAAATAAATAAAAATAAAGTATATACCTATAAACTTAGAAAGATTGCAACAATATTCGGAAGTCTAAAACCTAAATCAGAAGCACTTTTAAGTTGGAATGTTGCAGGGGAAGCATGTTTGGGCTGTAAGCATCAAGCAAGATAAGTGGATAACCAATGGGTCAAGTGGGTGCACTCTGTGTACATCCAAAACCAGAATTGGTTTATAAGCCACCTGTTGGCATCCAAATATATATGCAATCATAGAGAGAGAGAGAGAGAGAGAGAGAGAGAGAGAGAGAGAGAGAGAGATTATGAGTGACATGATAATTAAGAAACAAATTTTAAAATTTTTATCTAGAGTTAATATCTGCCAACATTCTCTAACTGTCTATGAGGTATATGAAACACCAAACGCTGAGATGGGTAAAAAAAATTACCACATAAAATCACGGGTGAAAAGCGCACGTGGAATCATTAATCCATTTCCAGCCATTGCCAGCAACATTGTTAAAGCCGACAAGCCTTTTATGTTATCAGGATTTAGGAAATTTTGTCCACTGAAAGAATTGAAACCAAGTCATAAAGAAGGCTCACTTAGACAGAAATCTGTTAGTGCTAAATATCTAACATAACCAGATTAAACAAATACCAATTGTGGAATTGGCACCCACATGAAGAGAAGGGTAGCAGTCCACCCTGATATAGCTCCATAAAATTTGACACCTTTCTCAGAGAGTTTACCCGCTCTAACCTGTGAAAGGTTAAAACCCATTTAAATGACGCAAGATACCAATGCATTTACAAAATCAAAAGGTTAATCATCCAATAGAGGAAAGACAAGCATACTGAACATAGAGATTAGCTCATTGCCATCCACAATAACAAATTTTAAAAGGTTACCTATCCAATAATCGAGAAGACTAGCATAAGTGTGTAACAAAGATCACCACCAGGTTCATTCACAGTAAAAATCTGAAGGCTACTTGTCCAATGGCTAAGAGTCTAGCACGGCCATAAATGCAGAGATAATTAACTAGCTAGTTTGAGTAAGAAAAGTATAAATTACACATGCTTTAAGGCACTACCACTTACATAGTTACAAAGAATGTCAATTTGAATCAGTCATAACCTAAAGAACTTAATTTCCATATCTGCCTTGCTTCCTTTTTTACTTATAAAAAATAGGCGAAATAGACCTATATGTAGCAAACAGGCTAATGTAAATATGTAATACAAGGTGTTTTTGTTTATTACAAATAATTTACTCCATTGGCAGCTTTCTTAAGGACAAATCAAGCTTGGACAACACAGAATGAAGAAAATAGTGATCACACCCAATTCAAATGGACCTCAAATAATAAGCAAGCACAGTAGTGGTCCATAATCCTTAACACTTTGCTCCTTCAAAAGCTAGAGAGCAAAAAGGTCCTAAAGAAAAAAAAACTTTTATTTGTACCTATGCCTCCTCATATGTTTGTTCCGCATAAATTCTAAGGTAGGAGCTTCAACTTACCATAACAGCTGCTACCATGGCTATAACGAAAGATATAGCCCCAGGAAGAATGTTGTTTGGAATATATGGAACAAATGTGGACCACATAACCTGAATTCAGCATGCGACACACAAGTTAGTATTTGGTAGAAAGGATAAAATATCAAGGATTGGGATGCTGAGCTTCACAGAGGACAAGAAAGAAATCAGAAGCAGTACCTGGGGAAGGACAGAAAGCCCACCAACAGTGAGAAAATCTTCCCACAAACCCCAGATAACAGACGGAAGAATACCAAAGTGAAATAAAGAGAAGGCATTGCTTCAGCCATTGCTAGCTGTGAAATCATTACATAAGTAGTAACAACTCCCAGGCATTGCACTATCACTGCTTCGGTCTCCTTTTTCTTGGCAAAGTATGAAAGCAGCGAAAGAAAACGCGAAAATAAAACCAGAATCAGCAATCAGCAGGCATTGAACTTACGACAATGAACTACAAGCAGCATGAACTTGAAGAGCAATACCAATAACAATGAAGCACACCAATCCTTGGCAAAAACACACCAAAAGCAGGTTCTAGACATGATTGAAGACAACCCAATAAAGATTTTGTACACAATTTCGGATACTATGTGACTCAATGATCTTAGAGGACAATGCAATAAGATACATGACTAAACCTGGTAATATTTCTCTAGAAAACTCAAGACAACATAAACCAAGCAAACTAACCAATTATGTCGACAATGAACCTTACAAAAACCCAGGTAAATAAAGGATGAATATTGCCCAAAATCAAAAAATTTCAACTACCTAATTCACGCCTAGATCTAAGGAAGCCAATAAGAAAGTCAGATCAAAAAGGAAACATACAAAATCTGACCAAATCAACCACAATAAGAAAATCCCACAAAATCAACTATAAATAGTCAAACAAAACAGTAAAACAAAGAACAAAATCATCTAAACACAACAGTAAAATAGACAGTTCACCTATTCAAATCTTATTAGGTTACTTACCACACAAAGTATTCATACAAAATAGCCAAATGATCAAAACTTATCCCAAATTCGTAGAACATTCCAAAACCAAACCATCGATTACTTTGAATTGACTCATCACAGCCTCATTAATTTGTATAAAAGGATGTCACATGCTCCTAATCTCTTTCTTTAAAATCCATTGAGATGTAAGAAAGGACTTATCTGTAGATATATATATACAAAAATAAAAAATTAAAAAAAAAACCCAACTCAACTCACAAATAAAAACCCATTCAAACAACATGAAGCTTAATCAACTGATAACAAACAAAGAAATTTCGCCTAAACAAATGGCAGAAAAAATCAGCAAATTAATTTAAATTCAAAAACATATATTCAATTATTCATACCTGAACTCATAAGCACCATTAAAGTGCTTTTCAGAGTACCTCAAAAACAAATCCCTCCTCCTCCGGCTCGTTGTCTATGCGATGATGGTTCTGAAGAATCCAAATTCTGAAACTATAATATCAATAATTGCTTCAATTGCAACTTTAATTCATCAACAGCATAAAAAATCAACCCGAAAAAAGATAAATCACTCAAATTCAACACAAAAAAAAAAAGAAAAAAAATCCAAAAAAAACAAATAAACCCCAAAAAAATTGCAAAATTGCAACCAAAAAATAAATAGAACAAAGAAAACCCAAAAAAATCGAAAACCAATCGAACAAATAAACCCAAAAAATCGAACACAAATCGATCAAATAAACCCCATTAAAAACGAAACGATTTCGCACAAATACACCCACAAAGATTCAACCCAAAAAATTCGAAAACACATCAAACATATCGAAAACAACAGGAACATATATGCAAAAATCCACGACAATCAAACAATTAAACCCCAAAAGTTTGAAACTAAATCGAGAAAACAAAAAAATCGAAAACCAATCGAACAAATAAACCCAAAAAATCGAACCCAAATCGATCAAATAAACCCCATTAAAAACGAAACGATTTCGCACAATAATACACCTACAAAGATTCAACCCAAAAAAATCGAAAACACATCGAAAATATTGAAAACAATAGGAACATAAAACTGCTTCAACCAAAAGAAATTGAAAAAATAGATTTCAAATTAAACAAAACCCTAAAATCCCAACTAAAAAAAATTAAGAGCGTACCTCAAAAGCTGCTTCATGGAGGAGGAGAGAGAGCTAAGAAGGCACTTCAATGGAGGATTCAGATCGCACTTCAATCGTTCACCACTTGCTTTAACTCGAACAAGATTCGAACGAAAATCGAAGACCTTACAGTACACGAGAGATGAAAGCAGAACGAGATGGGAACGAAAGAGGAAGGAGAGATGAGAGTAGAACGAAAGATGAGAGAAAATGAGAGAGGAGAGCAGAACCAGAGATGAGAGAGAAGGAGAGCAGAACCAGGGAGAGTGAAATAAAGAGGCGGATTAAAGAGATATACCTAGCAGCCCGGTTTTTTTTTATAATTTCGCACCGGTTTGAACCGGTGCTAAAACACTATTTCGCACCGGTTTTGACTGTATCGGTGCGAAATCTCTTCCACCCCCTTTTTTTTTAATATTTTGTATTTCGCACCGGTTTATTAGGAACCGGTGCAAAAAGTATTTTCCCCAATCCCGCCCATGTCTTTTCCCACCGGTTTTCAAGAACCGGTGCGAAAAGTGAGCTGCGTAATTCATTTTTTCTACTAGTGTTTCCCCGTTCCCTTGTTTATTTAAAACGGGTCCGTCTCGTTCGGAATGACCCGTCTGGGCCACATATATGTCGACCTCAAAGTCGTCACCACTATCTTGGTCCGTATGGACCTCAGGCTTGGCCATAGGTCGTTTGCCCTCAATAGGCAGTACAGAGTCGGATGCCATCTCAGAATTACTCTCCCCACAGACGGCGCCAGATGTTTTAGGGTTTTAGGAGTCCCTTGGGAGAGTTAAAACACCAAAAATGCGCGTCGACCGTCTGTACCTGCAAAACCACGGAAAATCCGGTTGGGTGGAGTTCCGCCTCCGACGATCAAGTTAGAACGTTTTCGGATGTAATAAAATGCGGAATGTAAAGGGTTTTCTCTCTGATTCAGAGAGAATTCTGCAATTAATATTGCCCGGTTTTTTTGTGTTTGTATTTATGAATGTGTAATAAATGAGGATTTTCCTCTATTTATAGTGAAAGGGGATCAGTTCCCCTTTTAAGGTTAAGGTGACACGTGTATGCAGAGGATTGGATCCTATTGGGCCTTTCTGAGGCTGACACGTGTCAGCATGCCATTGGACCACGTGGCATAGGGTAATTTTACCCTAAACAAATTTCAAAATTGGTCGCACATTTTTGCATTGCGACCATCTCTGGATAAGTATCCGGCAAGGTGTCATCTGTTAAGTAAGCCCGGATGCCATCCATCCAGGTTGAGCTTCAGTCCAGTACTCCAATGGGATCTTCTTCCATACTTCTTTTTTCCATAACTTCCCAAAAGAATGACCTAGGTGTATCACAAGAGGCGGATGATGCCAGCTTAGAGAGAGCATCCGCCTGATTGTTCTCTGAACTAAGCACCTGACTTAGAAAAAATTCATCAAGTGTCCTAGCTTCTTTCTTGACCGCCTGCAAATATTTGATCATGGCCAGATGGGTGGCCTCATAGTCACCATGGTATTAACTAACAATCAATTGTGAATCAAAGCAGGCGTTAACTTTCCTTGCCCCTACCGCCTTGCACATGCGGATGACGGCTAGTAGAGCTTCATATTTTGCCTCATTATTTAAGGCTTGGAACTTGAATCGTAGTGCATATTCATAATTATCCCCTTCAGGAGATTGACATATGACGCCTGCACCACAACCGTTCATGGTAAAGCTCCCGTCCACATATACCTTCCAAACCTGATCAAGGCTCTTAGGATCGGCCGGCCTTGTCATTTTAACAATGAAGTCGGAAAACAGTTGTCCCTTCACTGCCTTCCTTGGTTCGAAGGAGATTTCTAGGCTTTGAATTTCAATGGCCCATTTTATCATTCGGTCGGATGATTCCATGGTTGTCATAGGCCGCTTGATCGGTTGGTCTATGTAGACCACAACCGGATGCACTAAGATGTAAGGTTTTAACTTTTTGACTGCCATGGAAAGAGCAAGTCTAAACTTTTCAACCATGGGGTACCGTAGTTCTGCATTTCGTAGAACATGACTGATACAGTAGACCGGGAGCTAGGTGCCGCCTCTTTCAGCAAGGAGAACAGCACTGAGCACATGGTGTAAGACGGCTAAATACATGTACAACACTTCCTTTGGCAAAGAGTGCAAGTGTTCCTTCAACCTCTGAAAGGCGGCCTCGGCATCCGCCCTCCATTCAAACATAGTCTTATTTTTTATGGCTTGGAAGAAATAGAGGCACTTGTCGCCTGACCACTGAGGAATCTCCCCAATGCCGCCAGACAACTTGCCAACTTTTGAACTTTTTTTTATAGTACGGGGCGACTGCATGTCTATGACCGCCTATATTTTTTCTGGGTTGGCCTCTATCCCCCTTTAATCAATTAGAAATCCGAGAAACATCCCAGACTTAACACCAAAAACACATTTCTTGGGATTGAGCATGACCCGGTGCCGCCTGAGTATGGCGAACGTTTCTCAGAGGTCAGAAAGGTGATCCGCCTGTAGTTTGGATTTGACTATCATGTCATTAATGTACGCCTCTACATTCCTCCCAATTTGATTAATGAAGATTGTATTAATCATTCGTTGGAAAGTAGCAGGCGCATTCTTCAAACTAAACGACATCACAGTATAGCAAAATAACCCCTGATCTGTGACGAATGTCGTCTTCTCTTGATCTTTGTTCCACAAGGGTATCTGATGGAAACCTGAATAGGCGTCCATGAAGCTCATCAAGGCACGACCAGCTGTAGAATCGACCAAACTATCAATCTTTGGTAGAGGATAACTGTCCTTGGGACATGCCTTGTTTAAATCTTTGTAGTCAACACACATGCGCCAGGTACCATTCGACTTCTTGACAAGAACAATATTGGCAACCCAATCTGGGAACTAACATTGCCGAATGAACCAAGCATCAAGCAGCTTTTTAACTTCGGCGACTGCCGCCTGACTTCTGTCTTCACCATGGTTCCTCTTCTTTTGCCTAACCGGCTTCGTTTTGAGATCCACGGCAAGTTTATGAACAACGAGATCCGGACTTATTCTTGGCATCTCTTCTACTTCAAAGGCAAAAATTTCTTTGAACTCTTTTAACAAATTATGCAAGTCTTCACCCAAGCTTGCAAAAGCAACCGTCCCAACCTTAACAGTTCGTTTTGGCTGAGAGTCGTCCAGTACGATATCAATATATTCACCAACCGGCTGGGGATGGAGCTCATCCGACCGTTCCTCGGTCAGTGATTGCTATTACTTTTCTTTTTTGGCAGCCACCAACTGGTCAGCCTTTCTTTTTCTGTCGCCTGCTGTGGGAGCAGGCGCCGCTTCTTTTACCTCTTCAAGGTCTATTGGTTCGTCACCCTGGCCGGATGCGGCCACAGTGGGCTTGACGTCTGAGAGATAACACTCTTTGGCCGTCTTTTAGTCCCCGTTTAAGGAGCCGACAGAACCATCATCTTTCTCAAACTTTAGGAGCATAAGGGATGGAATGATAATTGCCTTGGATTCATTCAAAGTGGGACGTCCCAATATCAAGTTATAGGCCATTAGCTCTTCAACTACTAAGAAACAAACCACCATGTGGCGCCCTTCTCCCTTCTCCCCTAGCCGAATGGGTAGATCAATCCGGCCTACCGGATGCACCACTCTACCCCCAAAACCAACTAAGGGATGAGATACCTTGTGCATGCTCTCAGGCTTGTACTTGAGCTTTGCCAAGCACTTGTGGCTGATAAGATCAGAGGAAATACCAGTGTCTATGAGGATTCGGCCTACCTTTTGGTTGGCCACTTTGCACTCGATGACAATGGGGTCATCATGCGGCCTCCTGACCTTTCCCCTATCTTTCTCAATGATGACTATATTTCTCATTGATGATAACTTTAAGGAAAGTGTCCTTGGACGCCTGCCCCTCATCAACTGCGCTGACATCCAACCGCCTGATGTAGTCCTTGGTACCCCGGATGGTTGGGCCGCCTCTAGCAAAGCCGCCTGCTATTGTATAGATCGTTTCTTTATCCGTGTTTGAACTATTAGCAGATTGAGGCTTCTTTTTGGACGACTGCCCATGGTTAGTTTACAGAGTAACCTTGGACCTTAGAATATAAGACTTAAGCACTCCTTTGTCAACCGGATGGTCCAATAGCTGCTTGAGACTATAGCATTCGTAGGTGTCATGGCCAACGTCCTCGTGGAAATGACAATATTTATTCTTGTTCTGGTTTTTGGCAGAACCTTTCATAGCAGCCGGCTTCTCAATGGTCACCCGGTCTTTGATCTCCATCAGGATAGAGTAACAATCTTTGTTAAACTCATACTTGGGGGTGTATGGTTTAGATTCTTTATTTCTCTTCTTCGACGACTGCTCAGAGCTGTCAACCGCCCAGACTTCTTTTCGAGGGTAGCAACCCTCTTTCTAACAAGGTCGAACTTGAAGGTCGACCCGTCTTTCAGACCTTTGAAAAAGTCCGTATAAGCCACTTCATCAGACAACCCTTGAATTCATTGGGTTTCGTAGAGTCCGAATCTACGCGGAAGAGAAACCCGCCTAAGACCCTCACACTAATTAAAGCGACTAAGTATGCAATCACAAATTAAACAACAATTAAGAGAGAGAAGGAAAAGACATTCTTACCCATGGCGCGTGCTTCACTCGAACCCGAGCTCTTACTTTAAAACTTGAACCCCGCAAATGCGAAGGTCTCCGACAGCTCGTACCCACGAACCCGACCCGAACGGTCCAAGTCCCGAAGGTTAGTCGGGACCAGACCAATAAAAACTAGAGTTTTACGGACTTAAGGTTTTCTCACTTTTCTAAGGAGATGCCTTTTTAATTCCACTCAAGTGTTCTTCCCAAATCCTAAAACCTTTGTATTTATAGAAAAATGAACCTTGAATTCCCATTCTCAATTAATGTGGGAGATTTGCAATTTTCCCATTTTATTATAATCAAAACAAAATTAAAATTGCAATTCAATCAATAAGTTACAAGTGGCACAAGGACAATGAGAGATTAGGTGAGGACCATTTCCAAGGGGGGACCATAGCCTTGCTCCCCAAGGAAAAACTCCAACCCTTAGTCCCCACAAGCAAATTGGCCCTCCTCTCCAAGTGGCTGGCTGGCAGCCTGCCTTGGCTGCCAAGGCTTCCAGCTGGCACCTAGCACCAAGGCTGGGCAGCCTGGCCAACCAGCACACACGCACACAGCCCGCATGCATGCACAACCAGCCAGCACGCAATGCTTCGTTTCTACTTGGTGCGTGGTGCTGGGCGCTGCTAGTAATGCGCCTAGCATGCTAGCAAGGCCCTAGCCTTGCGATGCGATGCTTGGCCAGCTAGCACACACAGCCTCGCACACACGCATTGCTTACGATGCTGTGTCATGTGCTGTGCGATGCTCAAGCTTGGTGCGTGGCTGCGATGGCTAGGCGCCAGCACGCTAGCAAGCACACAAGGTTGCGATGCTTGCGAGCAGTGCTAGGATATGCCTAGCAACGTGTG